GTGTGAGAATGAAATGGATTTTATTTGGACTTTAAGATAAGACTGTAGAGAAAATTTTCCACAGTCATTGCCAAAATTGCTGCTGTCTGTCAAAAGGAATAAATTTGAAGATGCTGCTCAGCTGCAGGATCTTCTTCAGATATGGCCTAAATTGCCTCATAGAGAAGCATTGGAATTATTAGATTTTAATTATCTAGACCAGCACGTAAGAGAGTATGCAGTGAGTGGCTTGAAACAAATGAGTGATGAAGAACTATCTCAGTATCTTCCACAACTTGTAAAAGTTTTGAAATACGAATCTTTTCTTGATTGTGCCCTATCAAAATTCACGTTAAACAGAGCACTTGCTAATAGGAGGACAGGGCAGTTTCTATTTTGGCATCTTGGGTCAGAGGTGTATATTCCTGCCTTCTCAGTGCAATTTGATGTAATGCTTGAGGCTTACTGTCAAGGAAGTGTGGGGTACATGAAAGTGTTTTCTAAACAGATTGAAGCTCTTAATAAGATGAAGACCTTAAATAGTTCTATAAAATTGAATGCAGTAAAGTTAAACAAAGCAAAAGAAAGTGAGGCAATGCACATATGCTTAAACAAAATACTTACCAAGAAGCCCTTTCTGATCTTCAGTCACCTTTGAATCCTTGTATCATACTCTCAGAACTTTATGTTGAGAAGCACAGGTACATGAATTCTAAAATGAAGCCTCTGAGAAGAGTATACAACAAGATATTTGAAGGAGATTCAGTAGGTGTCATTTTCAAAAATGGGGATGATCTACGATGAGATACGTTGATACACCAAATGTTGTGGTTGATGGATTTATTTTGGAAAGAGGCTGGACTGGATCTCCAAATGCTGCCATATGGTTGTTCAGCAACAGGAGACTGTTCTGGCCTCATTAAAGTTGTTAGTACACATCTGAAACAATTGCCAATATCCAGCTAAATAGTAGTAATGTTGCTGCTATAACTGCCTTCAATAAAGATGCTCTTCTAAATTGGCTTAAAGAATACAATTCTGGAGATGACTTAGATCAAGCTATTGAAGAGCTCACTCTCTCCTGTGTTGGCTACTGTGTAACTTCTTACATCTTAGGGATCAGTGATAGACACAGTGACAATATCACGGTCAGGAAGACTGGACAGCTCTTCCACATCGATTTTGGATATATCCTTGGAAACTTCAAGTCTAAATTTGGCATTAAATGAGGATAAGTGCCTTTCATTCTTACATATGATCTCATTCGTGTCATTCAGCAAGGAAAAACAGGAAACAGAAAAGTTTAACTGTAAGTATTGTGAAGAGGCTTACCTGATGTTACAAAGGCATGGAATCTTTTCATCACTCTGTTTGCCCTGATGTTGACTGCAGGACTTCCTGAGCTCACCTCAGTCAGGGATATATAGTATCTTAAGGACTCTTTGGCCTTGGGGAAGAGTGAGAAATAAGCACTAAAGCAATTTGAGCAGAAATTTAGATTTCTGCTTAAGAGATGGGGAGAAGAAAAGGAAGAGAAGGAAAATAAGAAGTAAAGGGAGAGTAGGAAAAGGAGAGGAAGGGACCATAAAAGAACAAAACAAAGGAGAAGGAAAAGGAGAGACAGCTCTTGTCTCCAATCACGTCCCCAGGCATTCATCCCAACTGGGCCACTTTCTGGGTGACTCCAGGGGTCATAACACTGTGACTACACTTCCTGGTCACTTGAGTCAGATCATTTGACTTCACAGAGTCTCAGTTTCCTTATCTATCACATAAAAGCAGGGAACCAGACTTCTAAGGTCTCTTCTACCTCCACCACTCTATGACTAAGATTTTTCTAAGTTCACAACACTAGATTTTCTTTCATATGGGAAAATCAAGTGACCCAGGGAGCAACGGAAGGATGGATGCCAGCAAGCTGTCGCATATTACCAACAATGATTTTTCACTTAAGAAGTGGCAAATGATAACATATAGACAACTCAAGAGCTATATCATTATTCCCATATAACTAAAAGAAAAGCAAGGATTTTCAGAGGGATTTTTAAAAAGACTTGGACAAGGTTCATAATAAATAAGACATCGAGGCCCTGAAATCTATACCATTAGATAGAATGCACATACAGTGAAATCACAGATAAACCCAAGCATCTATGTAACAAGAGCTCACATTCATGAGGTACTTTTTATTCACAAATCACCTTCATAAACTTTTGCTCATTCATTTTTTTCCACCAGTCCTGTGACTGAGAAAAGGAAGAGATCATTGTCTTTATTTTACAGAGAAGGAAGCTGAGACCAAAAGAAGTGAAACAGCAATAATTTAGGCAGATTTTCTTTTCTTTGTAGACAATCACAGGCATCTATCAAAGTGGCACACTTGAAGTAATGTTGTTTTTTTATCTATTTTCAAAAAGGCCAAGTGATGTCTTGACTTACACACAAATTAGCTTTAAGTGAGGCAGAGCCTCACTCCCTCTTCCAGAGCCATCAAAGTCCAGTGACAGGAAAAAGTCAAGACGACTGGTAATACCCAGGATACAGTGGCTGACGTTGGTGTCTTTGATGTTTGACCAAGTTCTGAGAACTCCATACAGCCTGCTTCATGGCTTTTGGAAAAAATTTTTCTCAGTCACCCATTCCATCACAGAGAAGCCTTCACATGCTTGGGGGTAGACATACCCCTACCTCACCCACAGTTTTGAGGCCTTGATTTTGAATTAAAATTCCTGAGTGAAATTCTTGGCTCTGCAATTAATGACCTAGGTGACCACAGGCAAGTTATTTCCCTTCTCTAAGGTCTCAGTTTTCTTGTCCCTAAAATAAGAGAGTTGGACAAAATGGTCTTTAAGGGGTTGTTTCCTGCTCTACTTATCTGTATTCTAAGATCCCTTAGAGTTCTTTACCCTCTGTAATTATGTGCTGACCTATCATACAGGTGATTTCTTCTTTCCCCAGTGAACATGAGGCATCCAGTTTCTTTCTCATAGAATAGGCAAGGACTACTGACTTCCTGAAATTGAATTGCAATTAGTAGGAAGCAATAATTCATCTGAGTCTCCTCATTCACCTAAAAAGGAGCTAAGACTTTCAGAATGAGAATGGGCCACTTTGTACTGTTCAACTTCTTATGTTTTCAGTTTTGTCTAAGAACAGAGGCCTTAAATAAACAGCCACCTTTTTCTAGAATCTTACCACTAAACCCATTAAATCTTAGATGTGAAGTTTCCATAAGATTATCCAGTATGATTGGGATGGATTTAAACCAGGAAAATAAACATAGTTCAACAGAAAGCTATCTCTAAGCTCAATATGTTATATTAATAATAAATATTAAAATGTAGAGATTATTACCTCTACATATACAGAAAAAATTTTGACAAAATACAATATATATTCATATTAAAAGTACTGGAAAGCATAGGAATTAATGGATCTTTCCTCAAAATAGTAGAATATTAAAAACCAAGAAATGGCACCATTTGTAATGTTGTTAAGTCATTTTTCAATCATGTCCAATTCTTTGTGACACCATTTGGTGTTTTTTTTTAGGGAGGGCAGGCTAAGATACTGGAGTGGTTTGCCATTTCCTTAATGTAACTAATCATGTTGTCCTCATTCCCATGATGTTGCCAGCCCTACAAACAATTGTATTATTTTCCTTACCTACATTTTTCTGGTTTTTGTTCAATGCTTATATAAAGGAGCTAAAATTCCTCTTACGGGTCTTTTGGCCTAATCGAGGTAGTCATTTGACCCTCTTTATTACCATGTTCAAAACTAGCTAATGAAATGGGAGGTGGCTCAGGGAAAACATGGCTCATTTTATTTTTGTTGATTTTCACTCATGACAATTCCATAACATTTCAAATTCGGCTTCGCGCCAGTAAACCAGAGAGGTAACTAAGGGGGAAGGACTTAGAACATACTATCAAAGAAGTAGCATCTATTGATCTTGTGATGGTCATCATCGCTCAAATCTTTTCATGTTGTCTTTGCTTAAGACCTCCAACAGCTCCCAACCCAACCCATTAGACTTTCCCAGAGATTCATAGAACATGAGAGAAAATGGGTTCACAAATACAGAGAAAGCCACCCAGGTAAGCGAGCCAGACTTCTCCATCACAACATGATCTCACCTGGCTCCCTTGATCTCCTTCCTACCATAATATATAGCTCTAATGCTACCACATAAGGCCTCATTGATAACCATCTGCCCATATTCCTGGAATATCTCTGCTTTCATGAGCTTCTTACAGGTAATCTCAGAAGCAGGTCTGCCACTAATTCATTGACAGTTCCTTTCTCAGAACATCAGTTTTCTTATCTACAATAAGAACAGCTAGGCCTACAAAACTGTCTCATTAAGTAACCTTTAAATTCTGTCCCTCTGTGATCATTAAGCCTAGAGCTCAATCTCTCCTCACATGCAGGAATGTCACTTAAACACATTTTCAAAAAGTAGCTGGCCTCTTCTAGAACATTTTCAACGGTGGGGAGACCCCTACATCCTGAGAGGTAGCATGGAATAGTAAGGAATCCCAGCATTCAATTTTGAGTTCAAAAACTTCAAGTCCTGGTGCCACCATCTACAAACTTTGAGACTCTGAGCACATCCTTCTCATCCGTACAAAGGCCATAAAAGAGTTTCTACCTCACCAGTGCATTGTGAGCAATCAAATGAGGTAAATTACATGAAGGACTTAACAAATCATGATACACTCTATAAATATGATCTGTTGCTCTATGAGGAAACTCTACTGATTTCATGTGTTTGGGAAACCAGACTAGTATAAGATTACACGTGACAGGACTTAGGAGTCTGGTGAATACCCCTTCATTTCTGGCCCTTAGCTCCAGGCTTTTTCATGAGCAAGTCATTCAGAAGTCATTTGGAATTTGTTTCCAGCATCCTGCATTCATACAGGCTAATTTCACAATCAAGGTGGATTCCTGCCTATATATAATGCTGGTCCACAAAAGCAGAGCACAGAACAGCAACTCACTTGGGCTCACTTCATTCCATTCACCGTGCCAATACTTGCACCATGAAGGGAGTAGCTGTATGCCTGTTCCTGATGCTGACACTGATATCCATCTTCTGTGAGTATATCTTTCCTGACCTAGCCCTAACCCCTAATTATCAGCTGTCCCCTTACAATGACTGACCCAGAGAGTCCCAGGATAAACACATGTGAGAAGGGGGTATGCTTCCTGTTCAGAATGACATTTGCTTTTCTGCATCTGCCAAGAGAAATCATGCAATATCTGGGCTGGAGGAGACCTTAGGAGACAGAACTGAGATTATAAGTGCTTGAAGGGACCTTAGAACATACAATATTGAAGGTTGAAGGATCACAGACTATAAAATGTTGGCATTGGAAGAAATCATTAGAAATGTACTTTTAGAGATGAAATAGAATTTTGAAGTTCTAGAAATGGATTTAGTAGATGGAATCCAATCTGGTAGAAATATAACAGATCCTAGATCATTGAATTTTAAACTTGAAAGAGTCTTCAGAATTTACTTAATAAATTCCCTTCATTTTAAAAAGACAGAAAATGAGGCATGGTGAAAGTAGAAGAAAGAAGTTACTTTCTTCCATTACATTAAATGGAATTTTTTTTTGTCACATTAGAGGAAAGAATTTCCTAAGACTAAGGGAGCAAGCAGAGGACAGTTGTTGAGTCATTCAAGAGATCAATATTGCTGAATACTTTTGCATTCTTTCTTTCTATTCCAGATGTGGAGTCAGTCTCAGAAGAAAAAGTAAGTCTTCTCTCCCTCAACATCAAACCTTTTTGATATTGCATTCCTATCTTGTAATGACATTGCATTTCAAATAAAGGGGGCCCCAAATTTATTTTGAAAGAAAAGAAAGTACAAAATTAATTATATATCGAGGTTTATTCCCAGATGGCATTATGGGTAAGCCTTCAATGGGCTTTTCTCCAAATGTAAATTTTAAAGTTATGCCCTGGATAAACAGAAACCAAGCCCACAATGGCAGAAGACAAGAGTTTATCCAGATAGGATAGGTAAAGCTCAAGGTCATAAATCAGAAAACAGACTTATGTGGTCTCTTACTCTAGAAACATCCTCTACCAATGTAGATCAACACATAGGCTGTAATATGTAGATGTTGAGGGTTGTCAGAATCACAGGAGTTGTTAAGATACTTGTCAATATGATCATACAACCAATATAAACGAATCAGGACTAGCACCCAGAGCTTCCTGCCTCCAAAACTGCCATTCTGTCTCTTACTCTGTATATTCTAGATGGTCAATAAATGCCTCTTGAATAGAAGATTGGATTTCTGGAGCTCAGAGCTCCTCACTGCTTTATGACTATGAAATACAGGGCAAGGGTTGGGGGAGGGGGAATTGGTTTCAGGGGTTCTATGTGAAGATTGCAGGCATGATTTTCACAGTATCTCCTCATCTTTTTCCTTTTCAGACCCAGAGACCCAGGTGTCTCCAGGTTTTAAGAAACTTGACTATATAAAAATCCTATGAGCCAAGAAGGAGATAATGTTTATTACTGATTTTTCAGGTTGACTGCAAAGGTTATGAAAAACTGCCACCAGGAGTGAACCGACCATGCACTCTAGAGCTTAGACCAATATGTGGTTCTGATGGGAAAACATATCCCAATAAATGTGCTTTCTGCCATGCTGTTAAGTAAGTACAGGCATCAAATGGAAGGGAACAAAGTTAGTAGGGATAGGGTTAGGGGTGGGGCAGAATTCAGTGGTTAATACAATGGAGAGATATTCTTGAATGACTTGAGACCAGGGAGTGAGAAAACATTGTTCCATTCCCTTAAAGTTTACCCCAACAGCAGTTCTAGTCAGATGATTCACACTCCTCTCTGCCACATTTACTATCTCCATTACCCTTCCCTTCCTCTATATGTATTGGTATACCCACTTTATAGATAAAAAAAACCTGAGGTGTAAAGTAGTAAAAAGAAGTATCTAAAGCTATAGTGGTAGTGAGGGACAAAGCCAAGATTTGAACCCAGTGCTCTTTCCATGACACCATGTCACCTCGATCAATAGGGCCGACCATGGAGAAGTTCCTTCAACACTTTGTGCTCCTGTTTCCATGTGAATAGAAATAGTTATATATAAAAGTAGTGCATAAAAGTAGTTGAACAGTATAATTAGCATATTCTTTCCAGAGTCAACAATCATGTCAACAATTCCTTCCAGAGTTAACGATCAAAGTTTTTATAAAATTTATGAACTAGTTGCATACCTTTGGACAAGTCACTCAAATTCTCATTGCTCATTTTTCAGCTATTAGATGTGAGGGGGTCCATGAACCCTGTCAGCTCTGACATGCTATAGCTAATCCTTCTCCTTAAAGGCATCCATAGTTGTTCACATATCCTCTCCTTCCCACTCATGATTCATCCTATTCATCTTTTCAAATACTAAACATGTTTGTGTGACAAGAAGTGTATAAATTTGTGTCACATTTTTATCTCTGTTCATCATATTTCCTTCAAGTGATTTATGTCTTACTTTAGATTAGTAGTTCTGACTTTAGACTTTAATATGTTTCCACACCTCCACCAAAGAGCTGCTCTGATGCCTCATTGTGGCATGGAGGTAGCCCTGAATTCTCAAAGCTATATCAGGTGTGTGCAAGTTTGTGGTGAGGTCTAACTAATGCAGAAAGTCTTCCAGCATGAGGACAGTGACAGATTTTTTTCTGTCATTAGGAGACCTACCTACCTAATTTTAAAAATTGTAACCAGATAATCATAACCAGAAGGTTGTCTACAGGGTGGTGAAATTTCTTTGGTCACAGCAATTCATCAAGACAGGAAGGGGTTGAAATCTGCTTGAGTGTAAAAATTCCAGAAATTTGAAGAATTGGCTTTTATGACTCCTAGTAAAAACAAGGTGGAGTGAAGTAAAGATCTGATATTGATTGACTGATAAACAACCATCAGCTATAGTCATTTTGATAGAAATAGGTCGTGACTTCAGAAGGCGGATGGTGAAGCATGTCTGCTGCCTCTACACAGAGTGCTAGATATCAGTGAGAAATCAGACATACATTTTAAACCATGGAGAACATGTTGATTGTTTGGGATTTTGTTATTGTTGTTGTTTCTTTGTTTCCTGTACTAATTTATTATGAGAGAGGATTCTATTGCTAGAGAGAGGGTTGAGTAGTGGCGAGACATTGAATAATGGCAATGGTGGGGTTTTTTTAATAGCATAAATTAAATGTTTTAAAGATAAGAAGAGTAAGTTTTATGAAGAAGTTTAGAGAACAGCAGCAACATAGTATTACATAAACATGGAATCTCAGTGTCAGAAGGGATGTCATCGACCCTCTAATCCTGCTTTTACCCAATGCATGAATCTGCTCTGCAACATCACCCCCAAGTGGTCATCTTACTTCTGTTTAAACACTGCCTGTGACAGGGAGCTCATCACCTTCCCAGTCTTTTCTATTGTGCCCTCTTTTGAAGAAAAGAGAAAGTTGGACTAGTTGATATCAAAGGTCATTTCCACAATCTGAAGTCTGACATCAGAAAATGGGCTTGTGTATTAGTGATCCTCACTTAACTTTCTTCTCTTGTTCCATAGGCAGAGTGATGAGAAAATCAAGTTTTCACATGAGGGGCAGTGTTGAATTAGAGCAACAGTTCTGAAATGTCCTCCAGTGCCTTTCATTCCGACTAGAAGATAATGCACAAGACAGCTCTAATCTCCAGAGGACTCTCCTTCAGAACGTTGGTTCTCCAACCTCACTTAGAGGGTTGCTTGTTGAATAAAGGAAAATTCACTGGATTTTTTGTCTGAATTCTCTTACTTGGAGAAATAAACAAAGAACCTAAGATATAGTAAGATATCAAATATCATAACAGGATTGGAATCTGGAATATTCCACCTCCAGAAGACTTGATATTGGACAGGGGAGAGGCAGAACATGTTTACTGGCTTCAAGACTATCAAGGAATTAGGTCTTTTTCTGCTTAGCCTCAAAGGGCACCCATTTAACATTTGGGGACACACATCACGGGACCAACAAAATAGAGAACTAAACGTTTTCACCAGTCCTTATGTATTTTCACAAACTCCCCAAAATAGGAATTATGCCAAAGTGATCAAATAATTGCTGGTTTCTCCACAAGCCAAGATGATAATGTGGCTTAGAGTCTTCCCTACACGTAGCATAGGGTGTCAGTGTGTGTTCTCTGGGGAAGCACAATAGACATTTCTAGCCTCTTCTCTCGTCATTCTTCTCCAAAGGGGACTTTATTCCCTACCCAAAAGAGAAGCAGCAGGTTGAGGCCAGAAGCATGGGACTCTGCTCTCTTTAAAGAAAGGAGGTGCCAGGCTAGAATTGGATCTATTTACTCTCTAAAATATTGTTAGTGTTAGATGTGGTTTTCAGGATCAGGTTAAACTCACCACTGCTCATTGTTGGGGGAAGCAAAGCAGTACACCAAGATTTATATCCAAGTCTTGGCTGTTCATGCAGGTACAGAGCATTGATCTCCATCAGTAAGGAGGAGTACCATCCCAATAGGCAATGAGACTTGGGTTAGTCATAATCCTACCTAGGTAACAACCTTATAAATTAATAATAAAGAGTCTAATTCCTAATTGACTCATTCACCATAACTTCTCCCACAAGCACCCAAATTCTGATAGGGCATAAAACCTGACCCTGAAAGAAGAGCAAGAAGGACATGGGAGCTCGGAATGCAACCAAAAGTGACCTAATCTGTAAATCTGAGCCTAACAATAAGTGAAAAGAGATGAAAGTTCAATAAAGAAGAGACATTTCAAAATGCTCATAGAAAGAACACTAGACCTGAAGAAATTGTTTGCTTCCCAAAATCAGAAATAGAGGAAGGCTAAATAATTACTTCAACCAAAGGCAGCAATAAAAACAAAACAACAAGACAGAAACCATTCAGAGACTTTTTTTTAAATGTACCAGGCTAGATAAGGATGAAAGGCAAGGTCAAAAAAAAAAAAGTTGTGCTGGAGAAACAAGCCTGAAAGATCATGCGCTGAACCTCATCACACCCGGACTACAAGAAAGTCACTGTTCTCCTTTTGGTTTTTAATGAGGCTAAATTACAGAAAGGAAGGGAGAAAGAAAGGGAGTGGTAGAAGAAGTTTACAGAAGGGAATACATGATGGACCTTAATTACATCAAAGGGAATATAACTCCTCCTTCTTCACAGGAAGAAGATAGCCTAAAAGAGAATGTATAGAGATAAAAAGGAGAGCCAGAAAAAGACAGCAATGAAAAGAAAATTATTTTCTCGGTGGTGAGGTAGGGCATCAATAGTCCTATGAGAGAAGAGAAATATTCTATGAAGCAAGATGAAGATATTACAATGGGTATACTCTGCAGAGATTTTATGCTTAGAGAAACCACTCATCCTGCCTCAGGAAAAGGGAAATCAGAGTACCTGGGGGCAACTGACATCCAGAGGACTGAGACAACATGGCCCTAGGGAGGAAATTTGGAAGAAATGGGGGAGGGGTGACCAAAGAGAGAGCAAAGGTCAATGATAATCAGGGACACTGGAAAATTTCTACCTTGGGGCAATATTTTCTCATCATTTGGAGAAATTTTTTTTTCTAAGAATGAGGAGAAACAGAAAAAAAAAGGGGGGAGACAATGGCTAAGGTTTAAAAACCAGTAACACAGAACCTGCTTAGAATAAGGAACCCAGGTATCTTAGAAGCCTTGATTCCATGGGGAATGCTGTGACTAAACCAGGACTAAATAAGCTTAGGGATCATAAGTCAAAGAATAAATGTCTGGAGCAGCCAGCAAGGAGAGTTAAATAGGGAAGAAAATGAGGGAAAGGAAGAATTGTTAGAAAAGACACAGAAAATGAAATTTTAACTACTAACAAACAAAATACCCTGAAGGTGAGGAGAGGAAGGGGGATTCCACCTGACTACTCAACTAGGAAAGAAAGGGGGAGTGAGAATAAAATAAATAAACAGTGAAAGAAAAAAAGAACTATTAAGCAACACTCCTAAGAGATGGAATAACAAAAAGAAATTAGGGTGTGGAGGGCACAGACTTCCATGATGAGAGGAAGAGAGCCAGGTAAAAATAATCACCTTAAAATATATTAGGCTAAAATAACTAAAAAAGCATAGTACTATGTTGAAAAATGGAGAGGGGGATTCCTGCAGGAGGCGGAGCCAAGATGGCAGAGTGAAAGTAGTGACTGCTTGAGCTCTCCCCCAAACCCCTCCAAATACCTATAAAAAATGGCTCTAAACAAATTCTAAAGCAGCAGAGCTCACAAAAAGACAGAGTGAAGCAAATTTCCAGCCCAAGACAGCCTGGATGGTTGATCAGAAAGGTATAGAGAGGAGCCTAGTTCAGTGTGGGCAAGCAGGCCACAGCAAACCTGAAACAGGCCTTAGAGGACTGAATCATAGGCAACTATGGCAGTTTCCAGACTTCTTAATCCATGAAAGCCAAAGACAACTTAGAAGGTCAGTGGGAAAAGTCTGTGTCTGTGGTGAGAGAGAAGCTAGGTCTCAGGCTCAGTTCCCAAAGCAAGCACAGCCCCAGGGTGGTGGCTGCCCCTTGAGCTTCTGGCCCACAGACTAAGGGGGAATCAGGTGACTGATCAGAGAGGGATTGCAGGGATCTCTTTGCCAGTCCAAGGCAGGAATCTCTTTCTTTGCCTGTACTTAGATCTGGGTCACAGATCTGAGGGGCAGTCCTGGGGAAAGGAGGAGTGTGGTGGAGCTTGTAGTGGCTGTGGAGAGAAAATCTTCCTCACAGTTCCAAGACAGAAAAGAGTGCTTGTGGTCACTCATAGACCACAGCACAGGCTAGGAAAGGAGTAAACACCTCATGCCTTAACATACTACCTTGGAAGAACTGAAAATTTACAGGTCCCTAGAAGTATCTCTGAAAATAGCTGTACAAACCCCTGAAGCTTGGGACAGTACATTCTCCACACTGGAAGCAGAACTCTACCTTAATAAAGAGTTTACAACTCAAGTAATTGGCTGAGATCATGAGCAAAGAAGTGTCAGACCACAGACTCTTTTTTTGGTAACAAAGAAGATCAAAACATACAACCAGAAGACAACAAAGTCAAAGCTCCTACATCCAAAGCCTCCAAGAAAAATATGAATCAGTCTCAGGCCTTGGAAGAGTTCAAAAAGGATTTTGAGAAGAAAGTAAGAGAAGTAGAGGAAAAACTGGGAAGAGAAATGAGAGTGATGAAAGAAAATCATGAAAAACAAGTCAATAACTTGCTAAAGGAGACCCAAAAAATACTAAAGAAAATAACACCTTAAAAAATAGCCTAACCCAAATGGCAGAGGTCCAAAAAGCCAATGAGGAGAAAAATGCCCTAAAAAGAAAAATTGGCCAAATGGAAAAGAAAGTCCAAAAGCTTACTGAAGAAAATACTTCCTTAAAAATTAGACTAGAGCAATTGGAATCTAGTGACTTTATGAGAAATCAAGATACTGTAAAACAAATCCAAAAGAATGAAAAATTAAAAAACTATGTGAAATATCTCGTTGGAAAAACAACTGACCTAGAAAATAGATCCAGGAGAGATAATTTAAAAATTATTGGACTGTCTGAAAGCCATGATCAAAAAAAGAGCCTAGACATCATATTTCAAGAAATTATAAAGGAAAACTGCATGGAAAGATGATATTTGTAACTCGAGAACTTTGTCAGTATTAGCGTAGATGAAGGGAAAAAATTATATGTATGTATATATAGATAGATAGAGGGCATAGGGTGAGTTGAAGATTAAGGGGTCATATCTGGAGAATAAAATTAAGGGATGAGAGAAAGGAAAGGGAGAAGAAAGGGAGAGGTAGAATGGGGTAAATTACCTCACAAAAAAAAAACAGAAAAGAAAAGGCTCTTACAGTGGAGGGGAAACAGGGGAAGGTGAAAAGGAATGAGTGAATCTTATTCTCAAAGGATTTGGTTCAAGGAGGGAATAAGATACATGCTCAATTGGGTATGGAAATCTGTCTCACCCTACAGGAAAATAGGGGGAGAAGGGGACAAGAGAGCAAGGGAATGACAGAGAGGAAGGCAGATTGGGAAAGGGGGTAATCAGAAGCAAGCACTTCTGAGGAGGGATGGGATCAAAAGAAAGAACAGAATAAATGGGAGGGGGATAGGATTAAGGGAAATAGAGTTTTTCACAACATGACTACTATGGAAATGTTTTGCATAACTATACATATATAACCTATATTGAGTTGCTTACCTTTTCAATGAGGATGGGTGAGGAGGGAGGAAGGGAGAAAATTTGGAACCCAAAGTTTTAAAAACACATGCTTAAAAAAAATGTTTTCACATTCAACTGGGAAATAAGAAATACAGGAAATGGAGTACATAAATTTATCCTGCCCTACGCAAAAGAAGGGGAAGGAGATAAGAGAAGGGGGGGAGAGATAGAAGGGAGGGCAGACTAGGGGAAGGGGCATTCAGAATGCATGCCATCTTGGGTAGGGGGAGGGGCAAGATGGGGTGAAAATTTGGAACTGAAAATCTTGTGGAAGTAAATGTCGAAAACTAAAAATAAATAAATAAAAAACAAAAACAAAAGAAAAAGAAAAAGAAAAAAGGGAAAAAAAACGGAGAGGGAAAATTTTAATTTGGATACATGTGTATATATGGACTTAT